ATATATATGTTCTCTCAGTAAACCAGAAATCACTTGTGAATAATATACCTTGAAAGTTATATATAACTCTGAATAAATGTTTAAAATTGCCTTTTTTTATTAGCAGTATTCATGTATCTTTTAGGTTCACTTTAAAGTTAAATAGCTGGAAGATTTTTGCCTTTATACCATCTAAGTATATCAGAGAAATGGCTAGACTATAAGTATAAAGAAATATATCATGCATGAGGTAGCTCAATTTGTGTGCATTCAACCTCAGCATTCACTAATATTTCATTTGTGCCGCTGGCATTTACAAATGAATTCTTTTTTGTTGGTTATATTCCAAGTTTTGAAAAGTAGACTTTAACTTTTTTTTAAATTAACAATGTTTATAAACATAATTAGATTTACATTTAAATATTTTAAATAAGTCACATTACAAATTTGCCTATGGTAACTAAAAATTCCAAATATTTTCTCTTTATTTATGCAGAGGATGTAAAAATGCACATCTAAACTTTATGTGAATTATTATTATATTCAATGGTAGATCCAGTATATGGATTTAGATTAACGGTTCTGATACCGGTTATCTCAATTTAAAAATATTTCAATGTTTTTTCAAACTTTAATAATAAATAAATGACACGAAATAAACTACACAGATATAAAGTACACATACTGATGTCTTGGCACATATACATAATGATATATTTATCATTTAATTTAGTATAGTGAATTTCTGTAATCTTTTAATGTTTTTACTGATACTTTAGGATTTAAATTGTTGCTTTTCCTAACACCAACTCTATAATTAGGAAATTTTGATCCACTGTTGCAATTGATGCTCATAAAATTCTTACTAAAATTAAGCAACAAAGGAATTTTTGTTCTGATGCCTTTTACTCAGCATGATTATTTAATATTTAACAAAATTTTTTCAGCACTATTGTGACTAAAGCAATAGTTATTTCATTTATTATTCAGTAGTAAGATATAAACTACTATTTGTTAAACATTCACTTGTATATGAACATATGGGTTATCTGTGTTTGATATCATAAATTAAAGCTTCAATAATCATTCTTGAACAAAAATTTATATGAATTTTTTTAATGAAACATGGATAATACTTAGGACTGGAATAGCTAAATTATTGAGAGGGAAAAATTACAAAATTGTTGATTGCTGCTTTTAGGATGCTATCTATCTTTAACATTTTACATTAAAAATACAATGTATCGTGCATTTTTTCATTTTATACTCATTGAAACTTTAACTTTTAGGGTCTGGTTATTTTCCTCATCTGGTAAAATTATTATGTCTTCAACTACAGATTCTGTCTCTTTTCCTCCCAGAAATTATGATTTAGTTTCCTTTCCTGTAATTTTGTCATTTGTGGTATTTATATTAATGAAGATTCCAGAGTGGTTATTGTAAAGTTTTCCTAAATGAATGCTCTTATCATTTACAAATTATATACCTAATTATATACCTAATTAAATACCTAATTATATACCTAATTAAAAATCTATTTGACAGGAACACCTATGGACAAAACTATACTATTCTATGTTCCGTATATATTTTGATGCCATATGCCCTAAGTTAGTGGTATTAAGATTTTTCTAGTATTCGTTTTAGGAAATTTACAGTTTGTTTTATTTTTGTGGACTGCGATCAATTTTAAGTAATTTTGCTTTGTGTTATATTTTTATAAAATGTAAATTTGAAGCTGAAGATTTCATAGCCATTTAAATTATATAAGTAATATCAAAAACCATTGTTATGTTTTTAAGTTTATGGGATTTTACACCATGCAGATAGGTTGTTTAAGTTTTAGAAACATACATTTTAAAAAGTCATTTTAGATAATTCATAAATTATGTGCCAACACTTGCAAAAATAAAATATTATGTGGAAGGGGATAATGTATTTATAATTGATAATAAGTATAACACATTTTTATATTTAAATAAAAATATTAAAAAAATTATTTAAATATCATGTTCTTGATAGTATTAGCAATATTATCATGATGCCCCAAATAAAAATGTATTTATTACCATTTATTTATAATCATTTTTATCTAAAATCATTTTCTTAAATGTATGTTTCTAAAACTTAAACAACCCATCTGCATGGTGTAAAATCCCATAAACTTAAAAATATAACAATGGTTTTTGATATTATTTATATAATTTAAATAGCTATGAAATCTTCAGCTTCAAATTAACATTTTATACCATTATTTATATATCATGTTCTTGATAGTATTAGCAATATTATCACAATTTATCACAATGCCCCAAATAGAAGTGTATTCATCACCATACATTCAAATTTTGTATTATTTGGTAATATTGACTTTTTTGTGTGAATTTCCTCCCTTCTTGGAGAGCCTGGCACGCTACCCGTGACGTATTCAATATGCCAAACACAGCAACAACAAAGTCTCACGTTGGAGACGTTACTGGGCCCACTCAAGAAAATAGATGAACAACAGCAAGACTGTGACAGTAACTAAGGTTAACACTATAAATAATTATTTATAACGTTTAAGGTGTATATTTTTCCAGTTTTTAAACCCTAAAATAGAAGGTACTAATTTAATTGGAAATTATAATACGGTTATTTCCATTTAACTCAATTTACTATTTCAGTTTATTAGTTTCACTTAAGTTGTTGTAAAATTTCTCTTTGCCAAATTTCTTGGTACATATAGAAGCATGTTTTAGATTCCTTTACTTTATTACTCTTTCTTTCAATATAACTTATAAATATAACATGCTACTCTTTTTCTGTTAAATAATTGTAGTTATGGTGAAATGGCATGGTTAGAGCAAAGTTTTTCTTCAATCAACAAATATCATGAGTGTAATAACTATATTACCATTCTAGTAGAATACTCTAATCTTCAAATGGAAACTACCATTTAAATGATAGAATTCAAAGAATGGGGCATATTAATCTGGAGAGGTAGTATAATGGACAGAACACTTGCCGTGTATGTGCTGGGTACACATTCAATCCCCATCACCACAAATATTCCTCTCAACATCACCAGGAGTTTTCCCTGAGCACAGAGACAAGAGCAAGCCCTGACTTCTTCTGAGTATGGTCCCAAAACCAAACCAAATCAAACAAAACAAAAACCATAAAAAGAGGCAAGTCACATATATGGACTGTAGACTTAACATAGAAAAGCATTAAGGGTAATGGATACAATCACTCTTTTTTCTGTGGGCTCATACATTTCCGAAACAATATCTTACTTTTATATGTAATTAATAATAAGCTTGTGAAAGAGTACTGATGCTAAAGCCCCAGAACATTTCATGTACTTCTTCATAACACCAACATTAGCTATTGTATTTGCAGTTTTATGAATACATGTGCGTTACAGTCATCTATGCAGCATGATTTTATTCCTAGAATAAACAGGAGTCTACTGCAGAGGTGCTAAAAAAGAAAAACTGAATTAATTTCTTACCAGCCACATTTGCTCTCCTGTTTATGCAATTTAACTGGCAGTCTTTCAAATATTACTTTTGACTTGAATGGGAACTTCTCTGTCATCCCACTCTCCAGAAGAGCATCACAAAAGGAAAGGAAAATCATAATGATAAAAAATATACAGTTATAGTTTTCAGGTTTTTAGATGAAGTCTCCAGTGTGATTGACTACTTATTTACCAAATTTAATTCAAATTAAATTTTTATATATTTAATTTCTCTTTCATGCCATTTTATGAAACAGTTGTACGGTCAGATAGTTGTCTGATTCTGTCTCTGAAAACATTGTGGAAACTTACGACTTCTATTATGATGTTAAATAATAATGGTTGTATTAGACATCCTGTCTTGTGTATGATAATACCCAAGGGCATTCGTATATTGATATAAATTAATCTCCAATTAAAGTGATAGTCTGTTGAGTTGGAGAAAACATTTTCACATCACATCAGACAAATGATAATGTTAAAGATATAAAAAGCCTTTATAAAAGTAAAAATGACTACCCCATAAAAAACAAGAGTAGTTCAACAGACACATTCTCAAAGAAAATACGAAGGTGAATAACAAGAATATAAAGAGTGTTTATTATCACTAATTATTGAGGAAATACAAATCAATATTATGAGCTATCCCCCATACCAGTGAGAATGGCATATATATATATACATATATATATATATATACATATATATATATATATATATATATGCCCTACCGCTGTGCTATCGCTGTGCTATCACTCCAGCGATATAGCGGTAGGGTGTTTGCCTTGCACGCAGCAAACTTGGCCGACCCGAGTTCGATTCCTCCACCCCTCTCGGAGAGCCCGACAAGCTACCGAGAGTATCTCGCCCGCACGCAGAGCCTGGAAAGCTCCCCGTGATGTATTCGATATGCCAGACACAGTAACAACAAAGTCTCCAATGGAGACGTTACTGGGCCCGCTCGAGCAAATCGATGATCAATGGGAGAGCCTTTACTTACTTTATATATATAAAAGGTAAAGGTAAAGGCCCTCCCGTTGTTCGACGATTTGGTATATATTAAAAATTAAATTAACCAGTGTTGTTAGACTTGCAGCAACAAAGAGACCATCATTCATTCCTGGACACAGTTGTCTGGTTCAGGCTCTGAAAAACATTGTAGAAACTTCTGAAAAATTAATCCTGCTTTTATAAAAACCTGTGATTCTATTACTGGTCATCCATGTCCAATCCTGGAAATTTATGTTAAGAACACTCAGATGCTGTCCAAAAAGATATTGGCACATGTTCATCATCATTACTGAGAGTCTGGACATTATTGAGTCATATTGATCCTGATTATCAATCTAGGTTTTAGATCGCTTTTAAGAGGTTGCTCTAATGGCATTGTTTGTTTTCTGCATGATGGTGGGATCAGCCACAGGGCTTACCTTATGCTCTATGGACTGCTGTTTTGAGTCCTAATAAAGTACATGTTATTTCATTTGACAGTTTTGTAATTTTCTCCACGACGTAGGCTGTTTGGAATTAAAGGAAGATACCATTGAAAACCTTCTTGCTGCTGCGTGCCTTCTTCAGCTTCCTCAAGTAGTAGAGGTGTGCTGCCATTTCCTCATGAAGCTTTTACATCCGTCCAACTGTTTAGGAATCCGTGCATTTGCAGATGCTCAAGGATGCATTGAATTAATGAAGGTAGCCCACAGTTATACAATGGTAAGACATTTAATATTTTATTGATGGGCCATTAGTATATGGTGATTAAGTGTAATAGCTAAATGTTAAAATAAATACATATTGCTTTTGACATGAAGTTTAAAATTCTTAAATGACTGACACATTTTAATATTGCACGTTGGGATATGTAATATATACTACTTTACAATCTCAAAGTAAAAATGACAAATAGATTATTATTGATTTATTGCTTTATTAACTATTTGAGATATTTATTTGTTTGTATTGGTTTTAGGGACATATCTGCCTATGCTCAGCTCTTTCTCCCCTCAGGTTTTGAGAGACCAAATATAATGCAAAGGATGAAACCAGTGTATGTCACATGCATGAAAACTGCTTAACTCTTGTGTGATCTCTTTTGCCTATTTGAGAATTTTTTTCTTTGTATTAAATTAATTTTCTTAATTTTCTTAAGCTACTAGTTTTATATCTTCTTCTATAATGATCCTATCTCCTCTTTTCATTCTAATGAAGAGCTATCAAATTGTTCCACATTTATTTGCTAATTTTTCCTTTATCTATGCCAAGTGCTGGGTTGTAGTAACAGAAATTAAGTACTGAAGTTCTAACTGCCAACATGATGAAGAGAAGACTGTAATATTTAGATGAGCTCACAAGGAGGATTTTCCCATGTTGGTATAACGTATTTCTTTAAAGAAATACTAGGAATTTAGCCTCTTTTCTCTTTTTACCCAGTGAGGATAAAGTGTAAAGGTGACCATATGCAAAACCAGATGGAGAGTAACCAGGAACTCAACTAATCTTGACCTTGACTTTGGACTTCCTAAGCTATAGAATCATGAAAAGTAAAATTTATTGTTCAAACCACCCTGTCTATGTTATTCTGCTATAACAACATAAACTGACAACATAAACTGACTTTACATTTTCAAGTTTGGTATAATTATGTCTGAATTATTTGTAGATAAATGTAATGATTATAGTAAATATTATAAAGCATTTATTGGCATAACAAATACTGGATTTGGAATTTTTGGAAAATTTTATACTTAGAAAATCCTTAGATATTCACACCAATTTACATATGTGTGTGAACTTTCATTGCCAGTTGCTTAATGAGCTTAAACTAAGTAAATATAATTCAGTAAGGACTATAAGAATAATTATATCTATCTAACATTTTACTAAGATTCTCTTAGAATAAATATTTATATGTATTTTTAAATGTTATAAAGATGCTAAAATTATTTTTGCATTTTAAAATTTTTAAATTTTACATTTTAATGGTTTACACACATGTATGTATATATATGTAATTTTTATCAAATGATCACCATTGTAGAAAAGAATACTCATTTACAGTAATTAAACAGCCATTACGTTTCATGTCCAAGAAATAATCATCAAAATATACTAAAATTTCTAAAATATCTAAACTACAGAAAGCCTTAAATAAAATATAAGCCATTATTGTTATTACTATTAACATTATAAATGTTTTCAGTGTTATTATTGAAGTAATTCTTCAGTCATTATAACACTCTTTATTTTAACATCAAGGGATGAATTTATATAAGATAAAGCTTCATCACTAAGCCATTGTTGCTATATATTGAACAATTCTAATTTTGTAATATGACCTTTTCAAATCACTAATGACAACCAATCATTTAAAATTCCTCTAAGTATTGTTCTTACATAGAATTTCAATTTTCATTTGTTCTTTTCATCCATTCAGCAGATTAGTATATTAAATGGAAATGTAGAAAAAAAGGAATAAGATTGATATGTATATATTTTTTTGCCAGATCCTTTACTCAATGTATTCATGTCTGGACACAGTGCTTGTTCTGAAATTATGTGAGCTATATAAAATCTATGTAAACACATACTTCATCACCCAAAATATCATAGTCCAATGACAGTCATTTAATTATACACATTTCATTACAATTAGCGGCTCCTGGTTCTGCTAAGCCAAAGTACAATATGCTTCTAAGTCCAGAGGGATAATTGGTCCTTCTGGTCTAGTCAGAAATTATTAATTTTGTAATAAAAATGTTTTTCTTGCAGCTGCTTGAACTACTCTACAATTCATCACACTGTAGTACAATGCTTTATTTCTTTAGACATTTTAAAATCTATAATCTGTAGTAAATGCATCTGAAGCAAAAGGAATTCAAGCAAAAAATCCTCTGTATTCTCAATCTCTATTTAATTGGTTTGTGAGACTTTGAATACGTTATAGGTAATTGGCAATATGCCTGTGGAAATATAAATGATTTTTAATTCTTTTGGAAACATGATGATCAGTTATTCTCCAGATGCCCATGTGTTGTTGTTTTATGAAAGAAAATTTACTGACAATTCATCTTCACGTATCACTATTTTCTGTAGTTTTGACCCATTAAAATGAGTATTCTGCATCTACTGTTAAATTTCTTCTACATATTTGGTTCTAATCATGGTTTATTCATGCATCTACCCAGATTTTATCTATTCAATAAGTGATTTTAAGGCAAACTTCTATATCCCTTTATTTTCTTCTTCTTTAGTAGAAAAGTATCACTGTTTCCCCACTACGTAGTAATGAGTTAATTGCTATATAGGCTTTATTTATGTTATATATTTCATAAGCAATCTTTGAACATTTTTATACATTTTTTGTTATAGTTGATCTTGATTTTCAATATACATGTCTTAAATAGCCATTCTTCTGACTTCATCATTTATATGAATTACTGTATTTCCTTTGAAAATTTCACTCTTTTATTTGGCTTCAGATATTGAATTTTTGTGGATAATTGCATGGCAAAGCCTGGCAAGCTACCCCTCTATATGCCAAACACAGTAACAACAAGTCTCAAAAATGGAGACGTTATTGGGCCCACTCGAGCAAATTGATGAACAACAGGAGGACAGTGTTTGCTTGTTTGTTTCCAAAATTAAAGGATGGTGACTAGCTTGGCATTACTTCACACGCAAAATCCTGGAACATCTTTATTACAAACTCAATATTATGTGAAAATGTGAAAGCAATTGTTAACCATTAATTTAAACTTTTGCTGCATGAAAATGGAGCTAGCAACAAAACTATTGAAGAAAATAGTCCCTTAGTAAACCTTTAGTCAGATTTTATTATAAGATCTGTGATGACTACTGGATATCACATCTTAGAGGAATGACAGAGTGACAAAGATAGATATGAAAATAATAAAACTAGTACTTAACAATAATTTCATATTAAAGAGGTAGAATATAAATATATTTATGCTTATGTATTTGTGTAATCACAAAATAAATAAGGTGCAGCAGCAGAGGAGTGTTCTTTCTCGCCCAACATGTGCATACAGTGGCCATGAGCCACTTCTCCACCCTGGTCTGTGCAGCTGCCAACAGACACAGGAAGGAGGGATCAGGGCCAACGGGACTGGTTGGTGATCAGCTGTTGTTTATTCCAATCTCCCCACATGCCTGTTGCAGTCTCACTAAGTGCCCCATTTCAGTCTCACACTGCCCCTCATTCCCATCTCCTCTTGTCCCCCATGCTAGTCTCTCCGCACTCCATCTTTCAGACTTGTTCTGGGTCTCATGTCCAGCCTCCATCTTAGGGGGTACCAACTACCCCTAGGTCAGGTAGCACAATCAACATAGGAAAGCTCTTCTTTCAGAGGGAAGCTCTTCTAAGATAAGACAAAGATCTGCAACTAGGAGTTCCGATCAAGGGCAAAGTATCATCTAGGAGTATGTTTCTCCTTTCCTTAGTTATGTTTCTCCTTTTCTTAGTCCAATAATCATTTAAGCAAGTATCTTAATTCTACTTCTTAATAATATTAGTCATTTTGTATGGGCACAGTAAGAGATACATTAAGCTTGTAGGGTGGCTCTCCTGGGGACATCTTGCTATAGATCCCAGACTACAGTGCTCAGGCCAGATTAGTCTTTCTTAACCCTAAGCAGGGTCCTAATCTTTAGGTCATGACAGAATTTGCCCATGACTGTTCTCTTAATTTAAAGTATTATGGCAATTGGTCTGACCCGTTTCAATGCTAGGATAGCTCACAGCTTGCCCAGGGTCCACCCAGTCCCTCGTCTGGACTCTGCTTTTGGGGTGCTAGGAACTAAGGGCAACTGAGGCTTATGTCAAGAAAACAGATGCCCAGGAGTGAATATTATTCAGAGTCAGTTAACTTCCAAGTTACAAAAGCACAACATCTACTGTCGTTCTGTATCTATACAAAAAGGACATTGCTCTAAAGTCAACTATGCAAAAAACATAAGGGAAGGATAAAAGCAATTTTCACTTACAAATACAAATCCAGAGATTTCTGAGGAACTTGACTTTACAAGTCACAGGTATTCCTTAGGGGGAAATAGGTGATTAACCAGTTGGGGAAGCAGAGCACAGAGAAGAGGTTAAAGATATGCATAGAGGAATGGGACTGCCTTGGGAGCACTGTGATGGGTGGAACCAATAAACCTATGTTCCCTGTGACCAAGGAGAAATGACAAAATGACAAACCAATATTCTTAGTGCTATTAGACAGGAGGATATTTACCTTAATGTGTTTACCAAGATGAATTTAGTCTACAATGGTAAAAGTTGCAGTGATTTCAGTGTTTCTTATTTTGACTTTTCAGTTAGCAATATGATTTTCTATTAACATGGAATATTATGTGAAAGAATAAGTATAAGGATTGATCTGTTTTGTGTGATGATCAAAAGAAAAAAATACAAGGTCCACTTCAGCCTGTCTTTTGATCTACTGTATTCTCTATTTTCTCTACTGTATTCTTTTCTCTACTGTATTCTCTATTTTCATTGAGCACCACTGCCATTGCCCTTTATTTAAAATTTAAGATTAGTAGTAGAGGATGAGTGAAAGTACACTGTGTTTATGAATTTCCATGCTGTTCACTTTCATGGTACTTTTCTTGGAAGTTTAGGCTTTCAAATCCCTATCCATATTTTTGCTTAGAATATACAGTGTTTCTTCCCTAATTTTAGTGTCTTCAAC